ACAGTGGGGGAAAACGACCGCTCTCGGCTTCCGTAGTTAAGAATCATAACAACGCAAAAAAACGCAATTTTCAAGGATGATAACGAAATTTTAAAAATTAATACTTTTTTTTAAAAAAAACTTTTTTTCCCGACTTATACGTCAACCACCCTGTAACTAACGTAACTGCCAATAAACACAGAATATTGAACAGTCTTGCAGATACACTAGTATGCCTGGTATTATTTCTAAACAGTTTGCTGGACAGCTAACACGATGAGCACGACTGAATGTGGATTGCCGTTGGGCTAGCGCTGTTAGCTCGCTAACGTCATTAGCACAAGGCAACTGGCTAAGCAACAACTCAATTCAGCATAATGGTTAGTGGTACAGTTAACTCACCGGCACAAAGCATCACGTATTAGCGGAGAAAACAGCGACAAGCCCCAGCAGACGGAAGAGGAAACGGCAGGTTTCACATCCTCTGCCGCTCCGCCATTACAAGCCCAGCAACGTCTCACTGCTGTTGGAGTCTCAGCTCGCTGTGACCTTCAACCTCAGCGGCTCCCAAACAAACAGTCACAGGCGGAAAAACAACCCGATTGGTTCAAAATCACCCTCAACAATTGGCCGTTCATTAAATATGAAACGAAATCAATTTTTAAATTATTATTCTGTGCTTCACACTTTCTCTTTTATTGTTGGAAGTGTTACTTCCAGTCAGTAGATCAGGGGTTCTCAACTGGTCTCACCCTGGGACCCACATTTTCCCATGGTCATTAAGTCGCGACCCAGTTTTTTGGGAGGGATATTCGGAGATCAAAATTGATATCCCGATTCCAGCACAGCGAATGAATAGTTGGCTATTCAGGTCCAGCGCTAGTATGAAAATCCACATTTTAAATGCTCCGGGTCATATTTGCGCTTTGCCACCTTGCATCCCAACATCAACACAATCTTAAAATGAACGTCAAACAAACTATGGTTACCATGCCTGTCAAAATAAAAAATTTTCAAAATAAAAAATAAGTTCAACCTGAGAGGAACATTATATATTATTTAATTTTGACCAGCTATCCGCAACCCACCCAGAACAGGTCCGCGACCCACCAGTTGAGAATCACTGATTTAGATGAGCATGTCACTATCCTCAGAGTGACGTCAGCTGATTGTGGGCGTGGCCTGTTCAGTGAGGTCATACGACGTATCAAGAGATATCCTCAGTGACGTCAGCTGATTGTGGGCGTGGCCTGTCGAATATCCCACTGAACAGGTTATATATGGAGTATGACGTCACTGAACAGGTTTTATATATATAGAGGTGCCTTGCTGAGATATTCACATCCATTTTTTGAAGTTTGATGATTTTAGTGTGACGCGCTTTCAAGATGAACAACGAATTACAGATAGTTAGAGGCCTCAAATTGGGAAGATGCCACATCGTGGAGGATATCCTTGGAGAGGGTGGCTTTGGCATTGTAACGAAATGCCAAAATATGCGCACCAAAAAGATTGAGGCAATCAAGGTGAACAGGAGTGCACCTGAGGAAATGCAAATGGCGCTCCATGAAATTTCCTACATGAAGCGACTGCAGTGTCTCGATGCAGACGCTTGCAACATCGTGAAGTGGAACGGATATTTCTTTCACGAAGAAAGTATTTGCATGAACCTTGAGCTACTGGATCAAAATTTGATCGATTACCTGGATGACAGAGGAAACCCAGGTCTTCCTGTTACAGAGATCAGGCCAGTGTTACACCAGCTGGCCACAGCTCTGTTTCATCTGCACTCTATCGGTGTGGTACACTTGGACCTCAAACCTGAAAACGTGATGGTTGTTGACCGCACTCAGCAGCCAGTCAGGGTCAAAATTATTGACTTTGGTCTGGCAAGTCTGCTGTCAGAGATCCAAGTGGGTGACTATAGAGGAACCAACATGTACATGGCACCAGAGATGATGCTTGCTGCCCCGTTCGATGAGACCCATGACATGTGGTCTCTTGGGGTCATAGCGGCAGAGTTGGCCATGGGGTCCATGCTTTACCCGGGAGAAACTGACTACGATGTCCTCAGCTGCATCATAGAAACCCAGGGTCAGCCACCAGATGACGTTCTGAACAGAGGGATGCAGACCTCTCTTTATTTCCACTGCCAGAGAAATAAGCGTCAGCCCTGGAGACTTAAGTCTCCAGAGGAGTTCCAACGTGACAGTGGACTTCATCCAGAAGACAGCAGGGACATCCAACTCACCTGTCTGGATGATATCGTGGAGGTAATGGAGGAACTCGCTGGACCCCACAGTGATAAACAGGCATTGCTCAGCTTAATCAAGAGCATGTTGCATCTCGACCCTGGTCAGAGAGTGAAAGCGAGGGAGGCCTTACAGCATCCCTTCTTTGCTCCTGGTGTCCAGCGCAAAGAGGATGCCAAAACTGTGGACCTCATTGATGAAGCAACAGGAGTCCAACCCCAAACTGTGGACTTCATTGATAAAATAACAGGAGTCCAACCCCAAACTGTGGACCTCATTGATAAAATAACAGGAGTCC